GCCCTCCTCAGGGTACCGTCGGCCAGGCAATGCCAGCTGGCAACATCCAGGGGTAGAGCGTTCTCCGTGGGCGCTCCTGTCCTCTGGAACGAGTTACCCACCGAGCTTCAGACGGCGCCTGATCTCCACTCCTTCCGTCAGGACTTAAGACCTGGCTGTTTCAACAAATGGGTTGACCTTGATCCTTGGGTTTTTCTTATTTTGATTGTCGTTGTTTTTACTGGGTTTTAATCTTTTTGATCTTTTATTATTATATGTTTTTAACTTGTGTTCACCACCCTGAGTACTTAGGGAGAAGGGTGGCATATAAATTTTTGGTAAAATAAAATAAAATAAATAAATAAAATGAATTCCACCTGAAAAATTAATCCACATCTTATCATATTCAGAAAGTAATTCAAAGCATTTCCAGAAAAAACAATCTGCATGTTGAGGAATCTCATTTCCATAAATGGATGCAGTCCTAGGCTGCATTAACAGAGGGATAGAATCAGGATCACATAAAGTGTCAATAACACTTTACAATGCCTTGGTAAGAGCTCACTTGGAATAGTGCATCCAGTTTTGTTTGCCACAATGTAAAAATGATGTTGAGAAAGAGTGCAGACAACAGCAACATGATTAGGGAACTGGAAGCTAAAACATGTAAAGAAGAGTTGCTGGAATTGGGTATGTCTAGTTTAATGAAAAGAAGGACTAGGGGTGATATGATAGCAATGTTCTAATATCTAAGGGTTTGCCACAAAGAAGTGGAAGCTATTCTCCAAAGCACCCAAAGGCAAGACAAGAAGCAATGGATGGAAACTAAACCAAGGAGAGAAGCAACCTAGAACTAAAAAAGCAACCTAGAACTGAACTGAAAGTGGAAGTCCATTAGCCATGTGGAGACTCAGTTGGAATGACAACACAGTGGATGAGTGATTATGGGTAGATGGATTGGTGCTAAAAGTGTTTCAATCTTTCAAAAGAACCCCAAGGTGGTTCTTTTACATTTTACTATGCAATATACAATTGGAATCAATTGTAAGAAGAGAGAGCATAACACATTCTGAATACATTAAAACAACAGCAAAGGTATTCCAATGAAGCAAATTGTCAGGCAAAATAAAAACAGGTTTTACAGCTGGTCCTCAAATCCTAAATTTGCTTTCTATAAACACAGGGCACCAGTCATGTATGTTTTTTATTCTCTATGCACTCAGGGAGAATTATATATGTGGACAACACCTTTCACATATGCAAGGGAGTCTATACGTTATAGCAGTGGTGGAAGTACCAGTTCTATGGGCATGGCTTGGTGGGCATGGCAGGGGAAGGATACTGCAAAATCCCCATTCCCTCCTCATTCCAGGGGAAGGATACTGCAAAATCCCCATTCCCTCCCCACTCTGGGGCCAGCCAGAGGTGGTATTTGCCGGTTCTCCAAACTACTCAAAATTTCCGCTACCGGTTCTTCAGAACCTGTCAGAACCTGCTGAATTTCACTCCTGGTTATAGTCAAAAAAGCCAAGAAAGTGGCAACAACAATGTGATCAAAGCTCTTCCTGTTTTTTTGCTTTTTTGTTATATATGACACACATAAAAAACAGGCAGTTTCAGTCATACTGAAACACTGGCCACCATCTTGATACCCTCACACAAATATGTACTCTTAAAATGTTTTTGCCATACCAACTCATAGAGGAAGCATAAACATTTAGTCTTTGTCACCCTGCACTCTCCATCCTCTTTCCCCCATTTTCCTCATATATGTGGCAATCCGGCAATACATATACACACCACCGCACACACATACATGGATAGAAAGACAGAAATGCAGGCTTTCTTGTACCCATGGATGGTTCATCCCGGTTCACATTGTCCAGCTAAGCTTTCTTTCCTGGGGCTGGATTCTTCTTTGGTCTTGTACCATAATGGCTGCTTGATCAGCAGATACGCAGATGAGAGGGCCAGAGAATCAGCATTGACAAAAAAACTAGTTAGATGACCTTTACATTAAAAACATCTGAGTAGGCAGAGATTTTGCAAACATGATCAAATTATCTTGGTGGGCAGGTTATTTCATTTACTGCTATTTGCCATTTCCTTATTAGGCAACTCCCTGTATGACTTGCAAAGATCAGCTATCCCTGTCCTTTGGCTTAACCTCTTTAATCTACAAGGAAAAAAAGAATTGGGGAGGAGGAGGATAAAAATCACCCGGAGTACAAGTTATTAAAGTCCTTATAATGGCCAACTAGGCAGAAGGAGAGCCAACTCTGATTAATGGAAAGGTTGCTATTAGATGACAATTGAAGGAGAGTCTCTTAGCAAAGGTAATGAAATTATCTTAGTTCTTCAATCTTCCTTGAGCTCGGCAGGGTGATTGACTAGCTTTTAGTTCTCAGCAATTATGACACAAGGAGAGCAAAATGGACACACATCCCCATGGATGCATCCATATTATTCTCTTTTGGGGATGTTACACAACACTTGCAACATTATACAAAGCACAGTGAAACAGGAAGAAAAGAAATTTAGGAGAAAGAAAAAAGAAAAGGAAATGTAGTTAGAATACCACCATTCACTATATTCGTTTCTTTCTTTCTTTCTTTCTTTCTTTCTTTCTTTCTTTCTTTCTTTCTTTCTTTCTTTCTTTCTTTCTTTTTTCTTTCTTTCCTTCCTTCCTTCCTTCCTTCCTTCCTTCCTTCCTTCCTTCCTTCCTTCCTTCCTTCCTTCTTTCTTTCTTTCTTTCTTTCCTTCCTTCTATCTCTATCTATCTATCTAGCTAGCTAGCTAGCTAGCTAGCTATCCTATATCACAACTCATATTAATGTATAATGAGCTGCCATGGCGCAGTGGTTAGAATGCAGTACAGTCCGTGTTTCTTTTTTTAAAGGCAAGATTTAAAATAATTAGCAAATAAATGTTTGTATATGTACAGTTTGGATGTAGACCTTTATATAAATGTAGCCAGGGAAAAAAAACCATTTATTATAATGTCCAGCTCTTGTGTTATTATGTCAATACGGAACTAAGTAAAAGAGCTTTGAATATAGTTTGATAAACTATGAAAGCAAAAGAAGATATTTTCATATACAATGAGTTTATACACAGCATTCCATGATTTAGACTATGATTTAGAGCCATGATGGTGCAGTGGTTAGAATGCAGTCTGCAGGCTATTTCTGCTGACTGCCGGCTGCCGGCAGTTTGGCAGTTTGGGTCTCAAGGCTGACTCAGCCTTCCATCCTTCCGAGATCAGTAAAATGAGGACCCAGATTGTTGGGGGCAATAAGCTGACTTTGTAAACCACTTAGAGAAGGCTGTAAAGCACTGGGAAGCAGTATATAAGTCTAAGTGCTATTGCTATTGCTATAAGACACTGGGCAGCTAACAATTAAAACAATATAAGAATGAAGTAAAAACATGAGCAGTCATTAAAACATGGATAAAGTAGCAGCTGAGAAGAATGAAACCCTGCACAACCAATATAACTAGACAACATTATCAGGGCCCCAGGAAAACCAAGTTTTTAATCCATGGAAGGCCAGCAATATCAGGGGAAGTCTGATCTCCTTGCAAATGATCTTTGCTTCCATCATGTACGTCACATGGTGTCTTTTATTGTTTGAATCTTATATGTTAAAGAAATTTTAGCATATCCACACCATTCAATTATAACTTGTTTGCTCTACTCCTTCCACTCAACCCTTTCACTCTTCCTTACTATATTTGCTGCAAGTTATTAAGAGCCTCAGCTAATGTCAAGTGTCAGTTGTATTGAAAAGTATATATACACATCCCTGACTGCCATACTTCTTTATGTGACCACAAGGATTCCTTATACATATATTAATAAAATCATTAAACAACCTACACACACACACACACACACACACACACACGAATGATTGCAACCAACAGCCAAACTTCAACTCCATTTTCACAGAAAGCATTCCATAACTCAAGTCTATTCACCGTTTTGTGTGCTTTCTACAAACAAACAAACAAACAATAAGCTTTCCTTATCACATTCACACATTTCTCAATCACCTGTAGAAGAGGAAACATCTGACCTGTACAACTCCCACCTGGCATAGAGCTCCCTCAAATTGACCTTAACTCCGACAGCCTTTTGGAAGGCCTTCAAGACTTGGTTCTGTCAACAGGCCCAGGGTCAGGAGGTAGGGTTGAGGCCATACAATGGAATTTTTAGTTGTTGATGATGGACCTGTTTTTACCCCAGCTACTATTTCAATGGTGCTGTTTTTGTTTGCTTGTTTGTTCTTCTGATTATATATTTTTAACTTTGTTAGCTGCCCAGAACCAATAATTTGAAATGGGAAGTCATATAAAATGAAAGAAAGAAAGAAAGAAAGAAAGAAAGAAAGAAAGAAAGAAAGAAAGAAAGAAAGAAAGAAAGAAAGAAAAAAAGAAAGAAAGAAAGAAAGAAAGAAAGAAATTACACTTCCCAAATTTTGCTTGCTTCCTCCTTTCAGTATTAAGAAGCTGATTTGTAGAAGAAAAAAACAACCGGTGGACCAATTTTTTATTTATTTATTCTCTGGAATTTAGCCCTAAAATCACTGTTTTTATTTATAGGTAGGCATTTGTTTTCCTAAACTTAATTGCAAATACTTTTCTTTTTCTTATAATGGAAGATGGGTTAGCTTTGGCCTTCTTTTTTCCCTCACATTCTAATATTGACTTGATTTAGTTATTGTTTGTGAACAAACTACAAAGCCAATAATTCCAGGGTCATATCAAATAAGTAAAAAGTATGTATCTATAATTTGGTAGTGATTCAGAAGTCAGTTTTCAGGATAATTCTGTTTATCTTGTAAGGGAATACAAATAGAAATGTGGGGAAAAGCCAGTCTCAGGAATACGTCTTGACTTGAAATTCAAGTTAGATTTAGATTCAAGTTAAATTTAGATTCATTTACCAGCATCTAAACAGTAGATATTTTTATTATCTGAGGAGTTGATTCACAAACATGTTTTTGTACCTTTTACAGATACAGTATTTACTCACTTATGAGTCTTTAAGATTTCACGTCTCCGCAATTAGAAGTCAAGAAAATTTGTAAAGAAAACTCGATGTGGTGAACTTCAAGAGTGAACATAGAGTACATTCAGGTTAGAATCTCAAACTTTAGAAAGGATAATAATCCTTTTATGTCCAGGGTTACATTTGAAAACATAAACACACACCAATTTATTTACAGTTGGTATAGCTGCCCGACTGTGACTCTGGGTGGCAAAAACAAGTTTAAAACAATAGGACTTTTTTTCTTAAAGTAAACATTGTATTAGTCCCTGAGGATAAATTCAAACAAAACAATGGACAGAAACAAAAACTCTCAAGGGTCCAAACTCAGGCCTGGGAGCACATTCATATTTTCAATGCTTTGGGAAAAACTTCCCAAGTTGGCCGTTAATTTCTTTGCTCTTTTCACAGCAGCTACATTAACATTTTTTACTGATTATATTCCCCACGTGTATTATAATTGTTAACTATTTAATATAAATTTAACTTTATATTTAATTTGCACCTATTTTTTAATTCTTTTTGGATTCGCTTTTTAATTCTTCCTGGCTCACTTTTTGTAAAGTGAAATGTCTCTCTATGTCTGAAAAAGATTATGCACCCCTAAGAACATGGAAGCAGGCGACATATGGGCTTTTCTCCTCCTCCTCCCCCTCCTCCTCCTCCTCCTCCTCGTTCCTTCCTTCCTTCCTTCCTTCCTTCCTTCCTTCCTTCCTTCCTTCCTTCCTTCCTTCCTCCTTCCTTCTTCTACTCCCCCTACCCTCCCTACTTTTCCTGCAGAAAGAGGAGGAGGAGGAGGAGGAGGAGGAGGAGGAGGAGGAAGAAGGAAGAAGAAGAAGAAGAAGAAGAAGAAGAAGAAGAAGAAGAAGAAGAAGAAGAAGAAGAAGAAGAAGAAGAAGAAGAAGAAGAAGAAATATCTAAACGTTTTAAAAACAGCTTTGGTTTTGTAAACTAAAATACTGAACATACACAACAAAGTATATTGATATGTACAGAACAAAGCCTTTTCTCTGTGGACTTTAACATTTGACTAAAGTCTGAATAAAGAAATATTAGCAAAGTCATTTGACCCATTAATTTTTTTCCTGTAAAATTTGCAATCCATATAGCTGTGTTTATGTAACATAGGACTACCAGATCTGGATTGCAAATATTTGGAAGCCTACTAGATGGCAGCAAAGAAAGTTATCACATCCTAACCCTTTGGTGCCATTTAGTGGCCAACCAGATAATTTTGGATCAGTAGAAAAATTATAGATGTCTTTCTTTGGAGGAAAGTTAAGCGTAGAAAATGATTAGAAAATTATGAGTAATGTACAGAAGGCCTGGAAGGCATTGAAAAAAATGCTAAAACAAACTTTTTAGGAATAGGCTTTATGTAAACCATTGAGCCTTGTCCTTTAAGTTAGTGAGTGGAGAAAGGATTGAGGATTCAGTCCAGGGTGAAATTCAGCAGGTTCTGACAGTCTCTAGAGGACCGATAGCGGAAATTTTGAGTAGTCCAGAGAACCAGCAAATACCACCTCTGGCTGGCCCCAGAGTGAGGTGGGAATGGAGATTTTGCAATATCCTTCCCCCAGGAGTGGGGTGAGAATGGAGATTTTGCAGTATCCTTCCCCTGCCATGCCCACCAAGCCATGCCCACAGAACCGGTAGTAAAAAAAAAAATGGATTTCACCACTGATTCAATCCCATTGATGTTTACTAAAGAATTCAGATTTAGATAATAAAATTTGTTGGTTCAACTACCAGTGTTCAATCGTTCTTTATTTCATTGTATTTTTTTGGCTCTTTCTAAACTTAAATTGATTTCCATGTCATGTTCATAGCAAGAAATCTGATTTCATAGAGATGACAAGAGAGATTGTAATGCATCCTGGAAAAAATGGAGAGGGTAAAAGATCAAGCAGAAAATGACAATGTTTCATATTGCACATAATAGTACTTTTGTTGCCTCCCAACATTGTTTTACAAGTGCCTTGTCTTCTTAGATATTTTCCAATTGATTTGATTTCCTCAATAGTAGTAAGTTTATGGAGACCCAGTGAGTGGTAATTAATATAATTTCAAGGTACTTATTTTGTGATAGGCTGGTACGAGAGTGACAGCAAAAATGGAAGTAACAGAATGCAATTGTTTTCTGGGAGATTTACGTTGAAAACAACCTGCAGTTCTTTGGCTCTTAACTCATCTGTGATATGACAGCCAGGAAGCTATTCTGCAATTTTTAAAAGAAAAGAAGAGCTGAAATAGGAAAGATGAGTTGCATTGCAAGTCTTTAATTGCATTAGAAAAGTAGCAAAATGCTGAGAAGCCTAGTCAAAGATTATTATGGGTAATTCAGTATGCGAATTCCAGCCATTTTCCAGATGCCTCTAGCATTTACATTTGTTTATTGTTTAAGTCATGAATGAATGAATGTATGAATGTATTGCAATAGTTACAGTGATACCTATTTGTATTGTTCCTGTGGAAAAAATAAGATTGATGAAGTAGAATAGAAAATTGCATCTTATATTGATAAGAAGATGACCTAACTTCTTTGCCCTCTGATCCACTCCTGGCCTGTATGGTTGTCCAACCTCTTCTTAAAAGTTTCCAGTGTTGGAGCATTCACAACTTCTGCAGGCAAATTGTTTCACTGATTAATTGTTCTAACTGTTAGGAAATTTCTTCTTAGTTGTAGGTTGCTTCTCTCCTTGATTAGTTTCCATCCATTCCTTCTTGTCCTGCCTTCAGGTGCTTTGGAGAATAGCTTGACTCCTCCAGTCCTTGAGATATCAGAACACTGCATTCATATCACTCCTAGTCCTTTTTTTCATTAAACTAGACATGCCCAATTCCAGCAACCATTCTTTATGTTTTAGTCTCCAGTCCCCTAATCATCTTCAATGCTCTTCTCTGCATTGGAGATGATCATAGTTGTCCATCTAAGGTATGCAGGGACTTTTATTGGGCAGTATCAATATAGGAAGATGTCAGAGGCAGATGATCACTTTAGTAACAATGGCAAAGGTATGAATTCATTTGGCACAGAAGAAAGCAATGGGCAACCATTCCTGTATTTGTACCAACAAAACCACATGGATAGCAAATATAAAATGATTGCTAATACAGTGCCATATCATACGTCCGTCAGGTCAGATGGCATTCAACATGCTATGAGGAAGAGCTGTGGATTTTTCAGAGTGTTAATGGTGTTTCTGACTTGGCTAGATTAAAACCTTCAGGATATCTAGTTGCTGATATTTCCATAAAGGAAAAGAAAATCAGAAGCTGAAAAAGATAGAATTGCAGTAGGAACATGGAAGGTGAGAAACAAGAAACAAGAATTGAACAAGAGAGTTCAATACAGTGAAAGATGAAATGAAATGATTAGAAATTGGCATCTCAGGCATCAGTAAATTGAGATGGACCAGAATGGGACACTTTTCAGTCAGGTCACACTGTTTATTACTCAGAACATGAAAAAACAAAGAAGGTACATTGTTGCTTTTAGTTAGAAAGGGCATAATCAGAACAGTACTTGGCTACAATACGATTAATAAATGAATGATGCTGATTAGAGTTCTCAGAGAAACCTTTAATACATTGAATGTTCAAATTTATGCTCCAACTATTGATACTATTGATGCAGAAGAAGAGGAGTTTTATGATCAAGTACAGTTTGAAATTGAGAGAACATGCAAGCAAGATGTGCTGCTTGTGATTGAAATTTGCAGTGTCAAAGTTGGAAACATGAAAGAAAAAAAATGTAGCTAGATTGCATGTCTTTGGAAACCAAAATGAAACAGGAGATTGACTTACAAATTTCTGCCATTCCAATGATTTCTTCATAACAAACACTGTCTTTAAAGAACCAGATTGACAACGTTCTACCTGGACATCACCAGATGGAGTATCCATAAATAAAATTGACTATATTATGATTAAAAGGAGTGGGGGAGCTCAATTATAGCATCAAAGACATGGCCAAGTGCTGTCTATGGAACAGATTATGAACTGTTCATGTGCAAGATCAAGTTAACTTAAATAATAAGAAAAAAGCCAGACAATTTCCATGACATGAGCTTCACCAATGATATACCCACCATTTTCAAGGAGAACATCAAGAACTGCTTTGAAGTCCTGAACTTAATTGATAGAGAACTAGAAGAATTATGGATCTAACTTTAAAGGTCATTAAAGATGGATGTGAAAAGAGACAGCCAAAAATGAAAAAAGGGAAGAAAACAAAGTGTTTTTCAGAATAAACTGGAAATTGCCAAAAGGAGAAGAGAAGCCAAAGCCAAGAAAGGCAAAAATCTTAGAAAGGAATTTAATGAAGAGTTTCAGAGAGCTGCTGGCAGAGACAAAAAGCAGCATTACAACAACATTTGCAGACATAAAAGAGGGAAACAGAAATGGAAGAATAAGGAAAGTCATTCAAAAAATCTTTAAACTCAAAAGGAGATTTCATCCTCAAATTAGTATGCTAAAGGATACCAATGTCCAGATATTAACCAATTCAAAGGAAGATAAAAGAAGACAGAAGATGGCATCCTTGGTGCTCTCTGAGCTTAGTTGTATTCTTGCAGATATTTCATTACCCAACTATGTAACATTATCAATGCTACTGAATGTGGGGTTTGCTGTCTGTTTATATATAGTAACTTGTCCTGCCAGTGTTGCTGAGGTGTTATTGTCTCCTTGGAAGTTCCTTGATTGGGGTATAATTTCTTAATTTTTTTATTGTCTCTTTTGAATGGTATGTAAATGTGGTTTAGCTCTATGTGTCTGTTGATGGTACTAAGCTTCCAGGAATTCCTAACTTAAAAAAAAAATTAGCTTGGTCTAGAGTGCTCACAGTTTCACAGATGAAACTATGGTTAAGTCTACTTATGTGTTATGATATTAAGGACTTTTCACTGTGTCTTCTAATTGCTATTTAGTGTTCATGGATGCATTCTGCTAGTTTTCTGTCTATCACTGTTCTAAACAGTGGCTGTTACATGACAGGCTGAGAAATTCTGGGAGTTGAAGTCCACAAGTTGTAAAGTTGCCAAGAGACCCTTGTTGTAGATGAGTCCTATTTTCCCCTGGCTTTTGTATAATTTGAAGAGCTTTGGTTGGTTTGTGTGCTACAGTGATATCATGTGGTTGTCATAGTCTGAAATGGTTTTGATATACAATAATGTTGTCATTTTCATACTTTGTATTGGTTGCGCTGTAGTGGATGGGGCAGTCAGGCATTTTTTTGATAAAGTTGTATGGGTTTCTATTTTATTGGAAGCTGTTGTACATGTGGTCTTTTTCCTTTTTCTAGTATCCTGGATTACTGCAATGCATTTGTGCTTGTCTAAATAAGGTTCTCACACAGCTCCTCGTTTGTTGATTGGGTTATTACTTCGACAATGGGGCACTTGGGTAAATGTAGGTTTCTAATTTGCTTCCTTTTCCTCTGCTGATGAAGACATTCAGGAAGGGGAGTGTGTTGTTTTCTTCTTTCCTTGTAATTTTTTTATTCCTTTGAAGATGATGTTGATTGTTGCAGGTGTCTTCTCTATTTGTTTCTCTTTTATTGTGTAATGTACATATTAGAACCATATTTTTGGCTGAAGGCGTGCAGGTACTATAGTTTTGAGGTGCTGCATTACAATCTCTGCTATGAGTCCTGGGAATACTGATTCCATGGGTATTTTTCTGATTTTTTTGCTTTTATGGATGCTTCTATGGATACCCCAAAATACACAGGTCTGACATATCTCTTCATCTACCTGCATTGTTACCAGGGATTCAAAATAGCAAAAGAACTTATAAAAAAAGTTTGGACATCTCATGGAAGGATGCAAACATTCTATCTAATATTCTACAGTGACTCCAGAAAATCAAAGACCTAATAACAGAGAAAGATGACATTATGGTTGCATTCAATGTCACAGCATTCTTTACAATCCATTGATTCAGAACTAGCAAAAGAAAGAATCCATGGCAGCAGCTCTATACAACAAACCCTATTGAACAAAACACATTAAGATCTGAAGACTCAGAATTGTAGACCTCATCGGCCTCTGCCTTACTGTCTACTTTCAGTTTGATGGACAAACATACGACAAATTAGAAGAACACCCATGAGATTGCCACTGTAATTATTACACCAATTATGTAACATAATTACACCAATTATGTAACATAGCCTGTGATAATTGCATCTTTTTCTCCCTAAAGAGGAACTTTTCCACTAGTATATTTTTATAATATTATATTCCAAAAACCATACAAGTAAAGTTAATAAAACGATTTTACAGCAGAAAACCTGAAAGTTGCCACATCTACTATTCCTTAAGGTATGCTTTTATGAAGACCTGCAGTTTAAAAGCCAAACATAATGGGGGAAAAACAATAGAACTTTGATTCATACATGCAATAATCCTTTTAATCATTTTCTAAAGCAAACAACACACAAACACTACTAATGTTGTGCTGCACTTCAAGGGGCATTTTTCAATAAGAAGGCCCACACAAAAGAAATTTACAACTGGGAAAGAGAACAACAACACACTTCAACAAGTTATTCTCTTGATAAATCTGATCCAGCCTCCAAAATGACAAGCGAACATCATGAGCTACATTGCATCTACTGATCAAAA